AAGTCTAAATAAAATAAACCTCTCCTAATAAATAGAGGTTTCTACCTAGTAAAACACCTAACAAATATGGGATTCTATTTTGCCAAAAGATTAGCCAACACCATGGAACTAACAGACCTCGGGTCCAGTAATCAGAAGTGAACCCTAGACCCACGAGGTCATCGTCGGGTTCTCGTACGCACGTTGTGGCATGATTATTTTTAGGCTCATCCACTTGGACACATACGATTCGGCCTTGAAAGTGGTTTGACCCACTTGATAAAAACGTGAGGGTACTTGGTCAGAGTACGTCGATTCCATATATAACTCTTGAAACTTTTACTTCGTCCACTAAATGTTTAGTTAAATCTTGTACGGTCATTTAAATAAAACACTTTGATTCTTCCAATCATAAACCTTTTCAAATCCTTACTCATCGGTTTGTGTCTCCTTAATTCCAAATTACTGCGTGTAACCCATCATGAACAAGAGTCAAACTTTTTTTTCTTAATAAACAGTCCACAATCAACCCTCCCTTTTTTTCTTTATGCTGTTTTTTGTTTTTCCTAGTTTTCTTTTTTTGTTTCCTTCCATTGAGAAATATTTTGGACATCTGGTATTAAAATATTGTGTTACACTAGTACAAACATTTTCTCTTCTTGTTTCCACACATTTTCTGTTTTTTTTTCCATTGGTTCGGTCAAGCCGCCTGAAAAAAACGTCACTCTGAAAAAATACTTTATCACTTGTTTTTTTTACTGTACTTATGTTTGTTTATTCTTTTTCCATCTTGAGCATATTTATACATATATACCTATAGATGAACACAGACCAAAAAAAAGAAGAAAAACTAAGAGAAATAATCATATATCGGCCCGGTTCTAGTGACACTGGAGAACGGTGCCACTAGCGGTGCCACTGCCTTTTTGGACACCTCCGATGCTCCGTTCGTAAAATTGACAATTTTTACCCCCCTAACCCACCCTCTAAACCCCCACCATACCCCATCCCTGCACCATCACCCCAATCCCGCCGTAAGCCCCCCACAAAATGTGTGGCTATTATGCATTGCATAATAGCCACATATTTTGGGGGGGGGCTTACGGCGGGGTTGAGGTGGGGGTAGGGTTGGGGGTTTGGGGGGTGAGTTAGAGTGGTGGAAACTGTCAATTTTACGAATGGAACACCAGAGGTGCCCCAAAAAGGTAGTGACACCGAAGTGGCACCGTTCTCTGATGTCACTAGAACCAGGCTGATCGGGTAGGGTGGGAGGTTTAGGGGGTAAGTTAGGGGGGGTAGGAACCGTCAATTTTACGAATGGAACACCGGAGGTGCACCAAAAAGGCAGTGACACCAGAGTGGCACCATTCTCCGGTGTCACTAGAACCGGGCTAATCATATAATATCATGTAAGTTATACGTATGATGCAAGAATTTAGATTATAATATAAAATGCACAAAATATATACACATGATATATATATATATCTAAATGCTGAGATCAACCGGCACACCACCTCCAAGCTCTGACGCAACCTTACCCCCAACCTCACTTACGCACCTCTAACAACCTCCCTTAGCCCCCCGTTCTTATTTATAGATAAAGTAAAAGGGCTAGTGAAGGGTTTAGGTAGGTTTTAATTAAATAAATAGTATTAAATTAATGCATGGATGCCCCTTTGTTTTTTTTGTGGGGTGCGTGTAGTTGAGGAGGAAAATCAAAGGTTTCCTCCTCCGTTCGATTAGCATTACATGTTTGATTTTTCACAGTTCCAATTAATAAATATTTTTAGAAAAATATAAAACGTATACCGTTAAGTTCCATATTTTTTATACATCATTTTAACATAATTTGTTTGTTAAGAAAAATAAGTTCACTTGAACAAATTATATTATTCAGATAGTACAGAACCAAAACTCATTTTATTTCATTTAATTTTATTCTATTTTTTAACTCATCCCCACTACTAATCAATCATTAAAAGTTAAATTCCAAATTGGTTATTTTTTATATATTTTTTTTATTAAATTTTAATTTTTTTAATATTTATCATTTCTTCGTACTAGAAGATTAAAATCTCCCAGAAGGGTTTTCAGGGCGTTACATTTCTCTCTCCCTTAAAAAATTTCGTCCTCAAAATTTGTCTAAGATGCGCATATATTTTTNCCTCTAACAACCTCCCTTAGCCCCCCGTTCTTATTTATAGATAAAGTAAAAGGGCTAGTGAAGGGTTTAGGTAGGTTTTAATTAAATAAATAGTATTAAATTAATGCATGGATGCCCCTTTGTTTTTTTTGTGGGGTGCGTGTAGTTGAGGAGGAAAATCAAAGGTTTCCTCCTCCGTTCGATTAGCATTACATGTTTGATTTTTCACAGTTCCAATTAATAAATATTTTTAGAAAAATATAAAACGTATACCGTTAAGTTCCATATTTTTTATACATCATTTTAACATCATCTGTTTGTTAAAAAAATAAGTTCACTTGAACAAATTATATTATTCAGATAGTACAGAACCAAAACTCATTTTATTTCATTTAATTTTATTCTATTTTTTTAACTCATCCCCACCACTAATCAATCATTAAAAGTTAAATTCCAAATTGGTTATTTTTATTAAATTTTAATTTTTTTAATATTTATCATTTCTTCGTACTAGAAGGTTAAAATCTCCAGACGAGTTTTCAGGGCGTTACATTTCTCTCTCCCTTAAAAAATTTCGTCCTCAAAATTTGTCTAAGATGCGCATATATTTTTTTCTTTTTATTAATGTCTGTTGTAAAATTTCGGCATTCCTTTACTCTTTGAAATAGAGTACTAAAAATGTTCGGTCAACTTTACTAAAGAAGGCTTGTAAATTTTGGCATTTACTTACTCGTTTCCAATACTCGGACATCTCAACGTAAATTATCTTCTCTTAAGCCTTGATCACCACATATCATTTGATCCAAGAGTGATTATATGGTGGACCTTAGGTCCATCAAAACATTCTCACATAATTTTTTTCAATTAAAAATAATACTTATTTCAACACTTAAAATGCTTATTTAGCATATTTAAAGGTCCACCATGAACCTTAGGTGTATGTAAATATATACTTTTATTTCATTGATCCAAGGCATAGAATATTAGTTTCTCGTCACTCTTTTTTTTGTCATGTTATGGTGTCCATGCTTAAGCTCCAACGTAACAAGGTAATTAGTTTTAGTTCTCTCTTTTCATTAAACTTATTTTTACTATTATTATTTCTTTTGCTAACACTTTCGTCAAATATCAGGTTGATCTCACTTAATGTCTTTAGAGGATATACACTATATTTTAAGAAATAGAATGGTGACGATTTCTAATTAAGCCTATAAGATTTGCTATTACATAAATAAATTAAATGCTACTTTATAGACACAATTTTTTTATAGATCCTTTGTTTTAACTAAACGTATGTGTATCTTTCTGCTTTATGTTAATTGGCAATCTACTTTACCAAATAGACCCTAAATATTCTCACTTTCTAATGGCAATTTATTTATCCTCAAAAGCACAATTAGTCAAACATTTTTTTTAAGTGTCATTCCCTATAAATAACAAGTGATGCTTGCTTTAATTAGGGTCCAAAGTCCTTGTAATGTAATTGAAGTTTTAAAATAAAGTTTCTTACGCACAATACTCTCATAGATATAACGGATAATTCATAATTAATATTCTATTCTTATATTTTTGGTATTATATATCCCCAACTCCCTGCCTTGACTTTAGGATCTGTTAACAACTTCTGTTTGCTATATATTCACATCTCTGTAATCAATGGAATTATCTTGTTCAGTCTATATTCTTCTATATGGTATCAGAGCCTCATCTCTTTTGAAAGATTTTTCTTCCCTACCAGTTTTTTTTTTCACGTTGCCATTGCTTTCTCTTTATTCGGCTATGGCACCTTCGCCTTCTTCGGGATTGATTCATCTCGCTGCCTCTAAACACTTTCCCATTCAGCTAACCAAGGAAAATTTTCTGGTTTGGCAACAACAAGTCTAATCTGCCCTCATAGGTCTAGATCTACTTGGGTATATTGATGGAACCCTCTTAGCTCCTTCCCAATTCTCGGATGCGGAGCACAAACAAAGTAATCCTGCCTACACTCTTTGGTACCATCAGGACGCTATTCTTTGTAGCGCCATCCTTGGCAGTTGTTCGGCAGAGGTTCAGCCGCTGATTGCACTTGCTACTACAGCGGGTGATGCATGGTCCCGTCTGACCACTAATCTGGCTAATATGTCGAAGGGATGCATTATTTCTCTCAAAGCCAAATTGGCAAAGAACCCACGTGGTACACGCTCGATTGATGCATTCTTTGCAGATATGACCAAAATTGCTGCAGATCTTGCTTTGGCCGGTAGCTCTATTTCCGATGATGATCTCGTGGTGCACATCATGACTCAACTCGGGGATGATTATGCATCCCTCTATCAATCACTACGTGGCTGAGGAGTTTGTGCTTCCTTGGATGAACTATTGACAATTTTGCAGGACTGTGAACACGAGCTCCGAGATCAGGTGGCTACGACGGATGGGTTGATAGCCACTGCCAACAACACTCAATGCCAATCTCGTGGTGGTTTTTCTCACCGTGGCGGTGGCTCTTTTCACGGTTGTGTTGGCAATCGTGGTGGTGGTCGTTTCAATTCACATGGTTCCACTGACAATAATCGTTCCACTCGTTATTGTCGGTTCTGTGAGTATCCTTGCCATGACACTAGGTTCTGTCGTAAGCTCTAACGGTTTTTAAAGGACAACAATTGTTCTTTTGGAGAAAATTCCTTGTCAGCAGCCACTGCCAATTTGACGATTTCTCCTGGTGGCACCAGCAAGGCTCCTCCACAATGGTTGGTTGGTAACGGTGCTTCTCATCATGTGACCAATGGTCTTTCCTCATTGAACACCTTTATGGAGTATGGCGGACCAGATGAAGTGCGTCTTAGTAACGGTAAATGTTTGACAATTTCTCACACTGGTAGTTCTTCTTTACCCACGTCCTTTCAGCCACTTACCTTGTCTAATGTGTTGTGTGTTCCTAGTCTCCAGAAGAATCTCCTTTCTGTTTCTCAATTGTGTCGTACTAATCCTATTTCTGTCAAATTCTTTTCCTCTCATTTTGTTGTCAAGGATGTGCGCACGGGGATTCCACTGGTTCGGGGAGTCAACCACAATAATCTCTATTCCATTGCTGCTGATTCCTGGCAGGCACGCCAAAGGCCTTCTGTTCATGCCACCTCTGTTGCTGTCTCCTCCTTAGCTGATCTTCATCATCGTCTTGGTCATCCAAATAATAAAACTTTAGGTGTCATTCTTCGTGGTTGTAATGCCTTTCCTAAGTTTGGGTCCTGTGCTGAATTTCATTGTTCATCTTTTCATATTAATAAAAGCCATAAGTTGCCATTCTCTTTTAATACCTTAACTAGTAGTGCTCCACTTGACCTGGTTTACACCGATGTGTGGAGTACTTCTCAAGCCTCGTTGGAGGGTTATCATTACTATGTGATATTTGTTGATCATTATACTAAATACATATGGTGGTATCCACTTAAGCACAAGTCTGATGTGTTTTGAATTTTTCTTCAATATAAATGGTTGGTTGAAAACTACTTCCACCGCTCTATTAAATCTATTTTCTCTGATAATGGTGGTGAGTTTCTCAAATTAGTTCCAATGTTTAATGAACATGGGATCTCCCACTTCACTACACCTCCATATACTCCTGAACACAACGGCACCACCGAACATCGTCATCGGCACATTGTTGAAACAGGCTTGTCTTTGCTTCATACTTCGGGTCTTCCACTTTCTTTCTGGTCCTATCCATTCCAAACTGCAGTGTATCTTATTAATCGGCTTCCCACACCCTTACTTCGTAACCGATCTCCGTTTGAGGTCTTATTTCATCAGTTTCCCAATTATGTCAACTTCAAACCCTTTAGATGTTTGTGTTATCCATGGCTACGTCCCTATCATACTACTAAACTTGCCCCGCAGTCTACCCCGTGTGTGTTTCTTGGATACTCTACTTCCCAATCTGCTTACAAGTGTTATGACCTCCAATCTGGGAGACTTTATCTCTCTCGTCATGTAAAATTTGTCCCCACTGTATTTCCATATGTTATGCCTCATTTCCCTCCCATGGCGTCCCCCTCCACCTCTTAGTCTTCGTCTCTTCCTTTTCTGCCAGTCTCCACTGCCCATACTGGCAGGAGATTTCCTTTGTCTGCTTCCCCAAGCTCCCACGTCCCTGAGGCTTCAGCCGGCAGTCCCATGTCTTCCTCGTCTTCCCCATCTATAGCACCTTCTTCCCAGTCCTCCTCTACCGTGTCCTCTTCTTCCTCTGTTGTTCGTCCTCCCAGACCAATTTGTGAGAAAAAGTTGAACACCCGTTACTTTAATGACAAATTTATTAATCATGTTGCTGTTGCAGAACCTCTTACTTACATGCACGAACGGACTGATCCCAAGTGGAGAGAGGCTATGGATGCCGAATATTTGGCCCTTATACATAATCAGACATGGGAGCTTGTCCCTCGAGGCTCTAACCGTCCAATTCAATGTAAATGGGTTTTTCGCCTCAAGCGTAATTCTGATGGTAGTGTGGACAGGTACAAAGCACGGTTGGTGGCCGGCTAAGGGGTTTCTTCAGCAGCCCGGTAAGGATTACTTTGACACCTTTAGTCCGGTGACCAAACCGGTTACTATTCGGGTTGTTCTTACCATTGCTTTATCTCGGAGTTGGCCATTACGCCAACTCGATGTTAACAATGCTTTCCTCAATGGCACTTTGCATGAAGAGGTTTATATGGAGCAACCGTCCGGTTATCGGGATCCTACTCATCCTGACTATATTTGTCGTCTTCGCAAGGCTTTATATGGCCTTAAACAGGCCCCTAGGGCATGGTACCTGGAACTTCTGTCCTTTTTGGTTGCCTTTGGTTTCAAAAAGTCCAGAGCTGATGCTTCATTGTTCATTTACTCCAAGGGGTCTGTGATGGTTTATTTCTTGGTTTATGTAGATGACATTGTTCTAACCGGGAACGACTCTGGGTTTTTGGATCGCTTTGTGGTCTGTTTGTCCCAACGGTTTTCTCTGAAGGATCTTGGCCCTTTACATCATTTCTTAGGAGTGGAGGTTCTTCCTGTATCTGGAGGTTTGTTCTTATCTCAGCGTCAGTATGTTCATAACCTACTCCTGGAGCATAACATGGCCTCTGCTAATGCTGGTGTCACTCCTCTCAGTCCCACTGTCAAGTTCTACCTTCATGATGGTGCTCTCCAGGCTGGCTCGACTCTGTTTCGGAAGCTTATTGGTTCTCTTCAGTACCTTGCTATAACCCGTCCGGATCTATCCTTTGCTGTGAATAAGCTGTCTCAGTACATGCTGGCTCCAACTATAATGCATTGGCAAGCGGCTAAGCGTATTCTCCGTTATTTACGTGGCACTCTTGCTCATGGGTTGTTTCTTCGGGCCAACATTCCCATGCGTCTCACTGTCATCTCTGATTCCGATTGGTTAGGAACTCATGATGGCGGGAAGTCTACCACTGCTTATGTTGTTTATCTTGGGTCTAATCATGTATCTTGGAAATCCACCCGACAAAAGACGGTCTCTCGCTCGTCTACGGAAGCCAAGTATCGGGCCCTTGCGCATGGCACGGCTGAGACTTTATGGCTACAACACCTACTGTCAGAGCTAGGTGTTCCTTTGCGAGGTGTGCCAGTGCTTTACTATGATAACTTGGGTGCTACATATGTCTGTAAGAATCTGGTGTTTCACTCCCGGATGAAGCATCTTGCGTTGGACTATTACTTTGTTCGTGATCTCGTGGCGGCTGGTTTGCTGCATGTTCGGCATGTACCCTCCACTAAGCAACCTGCTGATCTTCTCACAAAGGCTTTGGGTGCCCCTTTGTTTACCAAGTTTCGTTTCAAGATTGGCGTCTCTGACGGATCGTCAATCTTGCGGGGGCGTATAACGGATAATTCATAATTAATATTCTATTCTTATATTCTTGGTATTATCTTGTACAAGTTGTTAGGCTGTATATATCCCCAACTCCCTGCCTTGACTTTAGGATCTGTTAACAACTTCTGTTTGCTATATATTCACATCTCTGTGATCAATGGAATTATCTTGTTCAGTCTATATTCTTCTATAATAGAAAGTAATTAATTCCTACTTCTTTATAGATATGTGTTTTTTTAAATCCACCATTTTAGTAGCATTACAAAAGTTTGTCCATTGTTCCTACTGAACGCCAAATGGACGTGTTTATTGGTACCCAATAATGTAACTCGCATTTGTTTTTCCTCTTTTTGTCACTATCAAAATGTGACTTTATTTGCCACCAAATCTTAAATTAATTGCAACCCACATTTAGCATATGCTTCCAATAACTTCTTATCAATTCACCTCTCTTTCTTTTTGTTAATGTTAAAGTTTGACATAGCCTTAAAGAGTTAAAGTTACAATCTACGTTACGTTCTCGATAATTTTGTTTCATCATACAGGTCGATTATTATAATAACATATTGTGGAAATACTATATTTTACTCTGTAATATTCGAATTTTATTCACAATTGTTTTATGGTAATTTTTTTTAAAATTGGGAGTAACATGTGCAAGATGGTTACTACTTATACTTAACAATTTTTTAACATTTTTTTGAACTTAGCAATCTAATCTTACATGCGCTCAATTACAAGAAGTAAAATTAACTGTGTTTATGTTGCTAATTGTACTTTAAAAAAAATTAATATTTTTTTTGAACTGAGCAATCAAATCTTACATGTGCTCAATTACAAGAAGTAAAATTAACTATGTTTATTTGGATCATTCATGTGTTGTATGTACAATTGTACAAATATTTCAACCTATGAATTTAAGATTTACTAGCTTCACAAAAATAAGGTCCCCAATGTACAAGATAATCACGAAATTTGATTATGAGATAGAACTAACTGTAGTATGATCGATTTTCTTGTAGTCCACTATGTCATCACTTTTCTCTTACATTTTATTACAAATCAATAATTAATCTTAACCACCACTACCCAATGTTTCTTCCTAATCATATAATTCCATTATATATATATATATATATATGTATGTATGTATGTATGTATGTATATGTATATATAGATTTTGGTTCAGGTGAGAATGCAATCTAATGAAAGAAATAAGAATGAATCTGGTGCATTAGATTGAGAGATCTAAGGGTTAGGATTGCATCAAAATTAGGTGCACCAAGATGGTTTGAAAATGCATCATGTCGAAATGTACCATAATCCTTTGAAAATGCACTATCTCAAAATTTGAGTGCAGAATGCAATCTGAGCCGCATGATGCATCAGATCCAAAGGCCAGATTTTATTCTTATTTCTTTCACCAAGGTGCATTCTCACTTAAACCAGCCCCTATATATTTTTTTGAGAAAAGAGATGCTCTATTAATTGAAACAAAAAAGGGGAAATACAATCAAGAGGTTGCAACTAGGTTCTAGACAAATGTAACCTAGTGCGCTGGAAACTAGAGATACCAAATCTAAACACATGAGATTTGTAGAGGAAAGAAGTATCTAGTTTGTTTGCCCAAAACCAAGCTTGAGAGAGTTTGTTTATGGATGTCATTAAAGCATTTGTGGATGTTCTGTGATTTTCATAAAGGAATGAGTTGTAGTGCTTCCAGATGGTCCAGTAGATAAAACCAGGCAGGAGAAATCTCAGGTTTCCTTTGATACTTCCCTTGTTTGACGAAAGCCACCAGCTCAGTATCCTTTGCTGGACTGATAGATTTCCTCTATCCCTAGGTGCATTGACAGCCAATGAGTATGCTTGCCAAATAGGTGATATGGTGAAGTAGCCTTGAAATATATGATGTTCATCAACATTCATTTCCATGCAAAAAGGACAATGGATTTCAGCCATGATTCCCATTTTATGGAGATTCCTTGGGAAAGGCAGTAGGTTATTGAAAAAACGCCATAAGAACATGCTGATTTTTCCCATTTGCCTCTTGTCCCATATATAGACACAAGTGAACATTTTTGGCTTATGTTCAAACGTAAGGGAGTAGGCAGCTTTAAAACTGTAAGTCCCTGATGTCCATATTATCCCATCGTCTTGAAAACTGCAGTGTGGAAGGACTAGAGGGGTGATTTTACAGATAGCTTTCCATGTGTAAGAGTCATAGATGTTTGGAGAGAAGAGACCATCTCTGTAATATTTCTGCCTCATGAATTTTCCCCATATAGAGTGACCCTGAACCACTTTCAACCAAAGATCAATGAACGCAGCAACTTGGCAGTGTAGGAGATTTCTCAAACCCAGCCCTCCTTCCTCAAATGGGAAACATAGTCTATCCCATTTCCTCCAGTGATATTTATGACCTTCTTCTTTTGCCCCCCAGAAGTAGTTTGCCATAAGCCTGTTTAAGCTTTTAAGGATTGATTTGGGGATCCTTTGAGCAGCCATAAGATGTAAGGGAATCGAAGATAGCACATGTTTAATGAGAATAAGCCTCCCCATTTGGTTTAGCTTTTTGCTATACCAAGCATTTAGCCTCTTCTCAAAATTTTCAATCAAGTCCTTGCAGTGAACTTTCCTTAGTTTACCTTTGACAATAGTAGAGCCAAGGTAGGTGAACTCCTTTGTGTTGCATCCGATGGAGAGAATTCTCCTAATCATATTCTGTTTTTCAATCTTCATCTTTCCATGAACAATTACCTGGCTCTTGGGGTAATTTATTTCTTGTCCTAAAGCCCTCAAAAAGGTGGAGAGGAGTTCCCTAAGTCTTAAAAGATTCCTGCTATTAGCTGTGGTAAATAAGATGATATCATCAGCATAGAGGAGATGGCATGGTGTGGGGGTTCTTCCAGCTGAGAAAGGCTTGATAAGGCCACTGGAGTGATGATAGTTTAGGAACTGGGACAGACCTTCCAAAGCAATGATGAACAGTAGTGGGGAGAGGGGGTCTTCCTGCTTAACACCACATTTCATGGGAAAGAACCCCTTTGGCTGCCCATTAACTAGGACTGAAAAATGGGTTGCCTTTAAATTACCCATTAGGAGATGTATGGCATGCTGGATAAAGCCAAATTTGGTAAGTACACCTTCCAAATAGGTCCAGGAGAGTTTATCGAAAGCCTTTGAGAGATCAAGTTTGATTATGCAGTTTCCACCCCTAGTATTTCCAGAGAGAAGGTGGACCATCTCTTTTACCATGAGAATTTGGTCAGTTATGTTTTTACCAACCTGGAAGGCTGCTTGCTCTTGGGAAATCAGTTTTGGAATGATCTTCTTGAGCCTCTCACTTAAAATTCTGGAAATGATTTTGCTGAAAAAGGTGGATAGTGAGATGGGACGAAATTGATCCAAGGTAATGGAACCTTCCTTCTTTGGGATAAAGGTGAGGAGAGTACTGCCAAAAGCTTTTGGAAGGGGGATACCCAGAAAAAATTCTTGGACTACCTTACAAACATCAGTTTTGATTGTATCCCAAGAATCTCTGAAGAAGAAACCATTGAAACCATCAGGACCTGCAGTACTATTCGCATTAAGGAACCAAATAGTCTTTCTGATTTCCTCCTCCTCTGGGATAGCCATAATCAAACTGTTGTCCTGGTGGGAAACACAGGTAGGGATGTGAGCCAGGATTTCCCCCATTTCCCCTTCATGAATGGTTGAGAAAACACTGGTGAAATGCTCGACAGCTAAATTAGAAATTCCCTCAGTGGTATTAAAAATTTTCCCATTGCCATCTTTTAGTGAGGAGATAAACAACCTATGTCTTCTTCCTCTAACAAAAGAGTGAAAGAAAGCTGTGGAGGCATCACCCTGGGAGATCCATTTTAGATTTGCTTTTTGAGCCCAAAAACTTTCCTCGTTTTTAGAGCTTGTTGGAGGAGGGCTGTGGCAAGTTTGAATTCAAGTAGGTTGGTTTCTGAGTCATCAGTTTCAAGATTTTCCTCAGCCTTTTCTGCCCTTTTTTCAGCATTTGACACTTCAAGGAACAGGTTGCCAAAAGTCTCTTTATTCCAAACTTGGAGAGATCTCTTGAAATTGGAGAGCTTTTTAGCCAACCCTCTCATACCCCCACCTTCATAGTGCATATCCCAAGAGGAAGAGAGCATGTTTTTGTATGTATTATGAGACGTCCATAAATTTAGGAATTTGAAAGGCATTGGGCCTGAAGCTGAACTGTGAAGAAGCTTGATTTGGATAGGCCTATGATCTGAATTCCCCCTGCCCAGGTGTTTAATTTCAATGTTAGGGAATAGATCCATGCAAGCTTCATTGATAAGAACCCGATCAAGTCTTCTGCACACCCTCCCCCTACCCCTTTTTCCAAACCACGTGAATTGGCTACCAAGAAAGGGAGGAGAAATGTGCTCACAATCTGAAATGGCCTTATTGAAGTCATCCATACTACGAATATCAAGGCAAATTACACCTTTGTGTTCAGTAATGGAGGCAACGGTGTTAAAATCTCCACCAATGATCCAAGGGCACTGAATTGGATACATACCTCTTAAAGAGTTCCAAAGGCTAATTCTATCAACTCTGTTGTGTTTTCCATAAACATTTGAGATCCACAGAGAATATGAGGATTCAAGGTGTTTAAAACAGCAAGAGAGGATTTGTTTTTCCTCAATAACAGCCTGGAGTGTTAGCAGTTTCTCATTCCAGAAGAACCACATTTTATTATTAAGAGCATGAAAGCCTTTAGAGAAACCAAGCTTGAGTTTGTACCAATCAAGTTTGCCAGGATCAGTCATGGGTTCAAAAATAGAGAGAAAATGAAAATTTACTTTTTTGAGAAGAGAGATGAGGCGGGGGAGAGATATAAGAGCACCTCTAATGTTCCAGAAGAGACCAATCATGGGGAAAACAAAGGGGTGGATCTGTTTGAGGAAATCTGTCTAGTGATCATCTTGTGGCTCCTCCCCTTGGCTTGGGAGCTGTTTGCTGTGGAGTTTTGAGGGATAGATGTTTTCAGGGGTGGGAAATCCTCCCTGGAGAGGAGGTTATCCAGCTCTTTAATTTGCTTATCTATCTTCTCAGGTTCATTGAAAAAACCAAATTCTGGGGAGTCATCATCAGGGAGAACAATTCCTTCAAAGGGGACTATAGCCAGATTATTATCCACATCATCTTGGACTTCGTATATTATGGGGGCTCTAAACACATCCTCATGTAGATGACGTAAAGTGAGAGAGGAAAGGATAGAAGGGTCTACCAGAGAGTAGGTCCCCGTCTTTCGTTTTCCAGCCTTATGTTCATCAAGAATTTGAAAATTATTGGAAACTAGAGTGCTGTTGATAGCTGGAGGATTTTCATGGTTTTTGGAGGTTTCGCCTGGCCCTTCCTTCCAAGGAGGAATAATTGGTGCAGAGTGTTTGGCCCGCCATTCAAACTTTCCTCCCCCAGCCTCTGACAATTTGTCCTTACCCTTTTTGGAAACTACCTGTTGCCATTTTCCCTCATTTTTTTCTCCCAAGAGTTGCAATTAAATTTAGGGTGCTTGAATCAACCTTCAAAGGGGTGCCAATGGAGGAGGAGATAAGATGGAGGGCCCTCTTATCATGAAGATGGATGGGGAGATCTAGAAATGCAATCCAAATAGGCATAACCGGGTTTTCGGTTTCTTGGGAGAGGGAGGGGCTCCATTTGGTGAGGGTCATGGTGTATCCAAATACCTGCCATGTACCTCGTAAGAAAAGGCGTAAATAGTCCTCCTCTTCCCTGAAATTTATCAGGAACCTCTGGTGTGGAAGAACCGATAGCTCATAGCTTCCTTTGAGACCCAGCTTTTGCAGGAATTTGGTCATGGAGGTGAAGGAAGGACGGGTCAGGAACTTTGCAACAAGCGCAAGCTTGAAGCAGGAGGAGAGCTCAGATATGTCATCCCTTGTGAAAACAATAGAGGGGATACCCTTGAAAAATCCATTTGGTTTCCCCTCCAGTCTTTTGCCGCTGAAATCTGCTGAAACCACCTCGGAGAAAAGCCTGTTTAGCTTTTTTGGTGGTTTTCCGGTGGCCGGAAATTTAGAGAGAGAATCAGCCATTATATATATATATATATATATATATATATATATATATATATATACATACACACACACACACACACTAGCATTTGCACGCGCGTTGCGCGAGATTTAGTGCCCGATCACTATTTTTCCGAAGAATGGTTATGTTATTTTTGTGTAATTTTTTGAATATTGTGTAATAATATTGTGTACGTTCTAATAAACAGTGATTGCAATGATTTTTAACGAATGGCAATAATATGTAAGGAAATAATATACAAAGGAATGAAGTAAAAGTCACATAGCGTTCAAGGGTGGAATGTAATTTATTAACTAATGTCTTAATACAAAGTAGACATGCATAATATACATACAATGGAATGGGGCATACCCCTTTTATGCAAAGTTTAGTCATGGTGAACAAAACAAACAAGGAAAGGAAGTGAGTAAGAAGAACATTAAAACTTTAAAAAGGGATAAGTGAGAAGGAAGAATCAAAGTCGTATCCAGTATCCAGGGTGAAGGGATAAGTTGTGTGCACACCTGCCACAGAAAGATTACACCAAATGATCAAAAAAGATTACACCAAAAGATGGGAGATCATTACTTTTTACATGGATCACATATGAGGAATTAACCTAATGCAAAATAGTTTGAATATAAGCAAATAATGATGGGAGATCATTAGTTTTCACACGAATCACATATAAG